CCCCCACCCCCACCCCACCCTGCTCGACAGGGAGGGAGGCATTAGGTTGGGGAGAGGATGGGCTGGGCGGTGGGGGTGGTAGTTATGATGACGATAGTGGTGGGATGGTAATAGTGGTGGGATGGTAGTAGTGGTGGGTTAAGGTAAGGTAGGGTTGGAAGGGATGAGTGGCGGTTGTGACGATGATAATAATGGTATGGTGGTGGAGGGGTTAGGTTAGGGGTGGGTGGCGGGGTGGTAGCTATGACGATGATAGTGGTGGGATCGGGTGGCTGGGAGTAGTTGGGTATGACCGCGACAGTAGTGGCATGGTGGTGGGTTGGGGTAAGGGTGGGTGGCGGTTGTGACAGTGATAGTGGTGGTGGGGGGTTAGGTTAGGGGTGCGACAGTAACAATAGTAGCATGGTCGTAGTAGGGATGTCGATGGGTGAGTGTGATGACAACAGTTATGGCATGGTGGTTAGTGATGGCTTGGGGTAGGGTGAGTGACAACTACAGTGGTGGCTTGGTGGTGGGGTTAGGGGTGGGGCATAACGAACAATAGTTGAATTTGAAGGATAGGCGATGACGGAATTCAATTCCTTCCCTTATGCCGAGGAATGATTACTTCGTTGATTTGCGGAATTCAATGGAATTTGAAGGATTCCATCCATTTCAATAAGTGAAACAAACAAATGAATTGGAATTTGGTCAAAGGAATTTGTCATTCCAATTTCGTCAAATTCCTTCGAATTCTACAAACCAAACAGTTCCTTAGTTTTTTGGAGGAAAGCCTAGCTGAAGGATCTACCTCTGGACCAACCCACATGAGTGACTTACTCTATTGTTTTGTCTTTGGAGTTGAGGACCCCCTTTGTAACACCCATGGGATTGTTGATCTGATGGGTGGACTCATATTTTTATGGTGTGGTGTTAAGTATAAGTCCACTTGTAAAGTGTACAAGATTAAGCAATATGATTGACGAAGATACTCATGTTTGCTAGTTGGACTTGTTCCTTTTAATCTTGTTGCTTAACCAGAGTTGAACAATCTATTGTTTAGTGGTGAGCATGGGTGGTGACCTGCTTTTTTAAATGTGAAACTAGATTCTCAAGAATTTTATGGACTCGGTTGTCAAAACAATCACCCAGTTTAAGTCAATTTCATAACTCACTTTTGTTTCTACAACATGGAACATGAGAAGGGGGCTTTTTGTAGTGATGATGACCTTGGAGGTGCAATAGATTTGAATGAAGACTGGTTCAATGATGAGTTTTTTGATATCGATGAAGATGATGTTGCTCGTTTAGATCATCTATTGGATGAATATGATGAAATTAGGGAAGTCCAATCGAAGATGATGAACCTTAATAGTAAACAAAAAAACAAAAATGTGGAAGATTTTGGAGATGGAAATGAAAATGTTCCAATGGGCATAGATGATGGTGTGGAAGTGTTGAAGAATGTACATACACATCTTATCAACATGATGATTTTTAGACCTAGACATACGAGAGATATGATAGAGATGCATTCATGGAGGAAATGAAGTTCGCCGGACAGAAGTCAAATGAATTTCCTATACATGATCCCAATGTTCCTTGAAACGTAATGCAAACCCTACTTGGGTGAACGATATGTTTTTGTTTCCAAAATGAAGACGTCTTGACTAACTATGCTCTTGCAAATGGACTTCAACTTATGGAAAATTATGGGACTATGGAGAAGAAATCATGAGGAATAACCCAGGATCAATCGTCAAAATGAGTGTAGAGGTAGGACCGGATGAGAAGAACTATTTTAAGAGGTTTTTATGTTTGTTTGAAAGATGTGAAAGACGGATGGTTGACAGTATGTAGAAAGTTCATTGTACTAGATGGATTTTTTTTTGAAAATCCATTGCAAAGGGGTTGGTCCAGTTTCACCAATTGTGATAAGTAAACCTTGTGATTTTGTATGTTTTTTTTTAATATTAAATTTGCCTGATTTGTTATTCAAAAGTTGTTTTTTTTTCTTATTTGAAGTTGAAGTAAGCGAAAGGGAAAAAATTCCGTCTAAGAGGACTAAGATGCTGTTTACCAAATGCTTATCCGGGTAAGCGCTTACCAAGTCACTTTTACTTTACCGGATGAATATGGCAAAGACTAAAAGTCTTACCCGATAAGAACGAAAACAAGAATCGAGTCTTACTCGGTAAGTGAGGACGAGGGCTCTTACCATGGTTACCGCTTACCGGGATAAATTGTTGCATATGATGCGTTTTGGTGAATAAAAGCTTAATCGATAAGTAAGCGGTAGTGTTGAATTTTACCGGTAAATGCTTACTAGGTAAGTGTTTAGGTAAACGGTTCCTAAGCGGAACCGGGTGTAACAATGATTGAGCATTAATGAAGTATAGGAACATTTTGGTTTATAATTGATAGCGATGTGATGTTGTTGTCACTTTACGATAACTGATACATCATTTTTGTAAAAATATTTAATCATTGGCAGTATTTTTGTTGATTAAATTATCAACGTTTACCGACGATTACAAAATGTTTTTATTATCATGGTTCTGTTTAGTTAAAAAAAAATTAAAACAAATAATAGGCTTAAAGATGTTAAGATTTTTTTTATTAGTTGACATTTATAAAATAAATAAATAATGTCACATCAATAAAAAAAAATCCGATCCTAATCAGCATTTGCAAGTCATCAGGTAAATTAGGTACTTAAAAGTTTGAGATTTTACAATTAAGGTACCAAAATAAAAGTTCTGAAAGTACGTTACCTAAAATATGAATTAAACTAAAGTACGTTACTTTTTAATATAATTTTCCATTTTTTTTTTGATTAGTTTTTGTAAAAAGACATATTTAACCAACCACCTTTTTTATTTTTGATGGCATCCCTCCTCCAATATATATCCACCTCTATTTTCCAATTTAACATCTTATACACGATGTTGAATAACCAAAATCTAACCACAATTTAAGATCCGAGGATACTCAAATGTCAAGTTTCTGTGTGTGAATGTTCATGAAGAAGAAACTCGTCTTCAATGGGAGGTGGGGGACGAGATGAATATGGGAGGGTGGAGTAGCCTGCGGTTGGGGTGTGATTAGGTTAGGTTTTAGGTCAAAATGATCTATTTAACTGATAACAAAAAGTTCAGAGATTTATTTGCTTAAATTTTTTTTGTCTAAAGACTTAATCGTTTAAAATGAAAAATTGTTGTGTTTTCCTAAACGTTTCCCTTAGTAATAATAAGTATAAAGTACAAGAATAATAATAATATAATAATAATCTCGGATGAGTCTCTACGCAAAAGAACACATTTTCTGATCGAAAATTACACGGTATATTGGAATTTGGTGAAGATTTCATGAAATTCGCTCCATTTCACGATAGTGGGTAAAGTGTGCATTTTTAGCGTGTATTAGAATCTCGGTTTCTTTATGAGGGAAGTTCCCTCCATTTTCCGTATGCTGATTATAATAATAATTAGCATTTCACTCTATTTCTTCCATTTTGCTAGATTCACTTAATTTTATGAAATCTCTGCTAAATCCCAAATTAGTGTTTAATTTACGGACAAAAAGAGCAGTAAAGTTAGTGTTGACAATGGATAAAGATGGATCCATTATTTTTTATGTTTCAATCTGTCGTATAGCCGTATAGGGGTATATGTAAAAAAAACTTTATCCAGTTATTCAATTATAAATTACTTATTAACTTGATATTTTAGTTGATCATATATGAATAAATGATTTTTGTTATCCATTACCCGTTAGTCGTTACAATATATGTGTGTGTGTGTATATATATATATAGAAGTTCAAATAAAAGCCAATTTTTTTATCATAAACTAAAGGACGGTTTGTTTTAAAAAAAACCATTTAATACTCTCTGAAGTTTGAATCGGTCAGACCTTTGGATATTAAAAGCGTTTGTTTTTTTTTCTTTTCCAAATAAAAGCTTAAAAGTTATAGATCTTGTTTTTTCATTTCTATTTGATCGCTCAAATCAAATAAATATTTTAATTAACATTATTAATTAAGATGATTAAGGTAAAATTTTAATCATGCTTGATTATATTAGTTTTTCATTACTTCT